TTTAGGCGGCCGTGTCGAGTTGTCAATCCATTCCATGGAACGCTTGTCAGGTACGTTGAATTGTTTTCAAAGGGTTTCTCTGAGGTACATGGCTAGTTGTGTGGCGTAATTAGTCGAAATTACTATACTAACTTACTTCACCAAATCCCGAGGAGGCGATCTACCAGGAAACGTCAGCATAGTAAATCCTCCGTATCAATTATAGGAGGTGGACAAGCGATATTGAAATGAAACACGCCTATGATTCCGAGATTAGCCCAAACTGTGCACTCATTCCCATGGATCCTGCTTCCTGCCATGCGTGAGGTGAATGGCTTGCGGCTACGCTAGCGTGACATTTCTCCGGTCAAATTCCACGGAGCGGGACTGAAGGGTGGCAATAACCGGGCGCCATTTCCATACTCCGCTCACGCTGCCGCGTGGTCACCCATGAGTCTAACCATAGCCAGACACTCGTGTTGTCTGCGCCCTCTCACTTATTGTTGTTCTCTACCGCGCTGTGCGATTTGGGTACCGGATCCTGGTATCGATGCAAGTGCTTCACATTTGAGTGAAGAGTGGCACGCTGCTGCAGCTGCAGACCCATTCACCTTGAACTTCAGAAACACTTGTGGAGGTGTCAAGTGACACTTCTAGCCATTGTCTAGCATCCAGTAGGTACTGTTCAGGCTCAATTCAACGAACTACTCGGATTGGACCCCACTCTCTATTGGAGAAACGGTACCCTCATCAACCAGCAAGTTAACAAACTTCTGCAAATGAACACCACCGAGCTGGTCAAAGTATGCAAGTAGGTATTCCTCCAGTTTTACGGTTTCTCTGCGACGTTCTTCACTAATTTTCTTAACGTCATGGTATAGTCATGAAATAAAGGATAATTACACAAGGATGTTGAGTTATGGGCAAAGTCGTGCCCCAGGCGGGAGTCGAACCCGCACGCTTTCCGGGCGAGTGCGCTATCCGTTACGCCACCAGGGCCGCTTTTACCCTCTCAGCTTAACGGCTTTTATGCCGTAGCCTATCAGCACTCACACGTTTAACTTGGTGAGCCGGTCAGCCGTAATCGTTAGATATCGGCAATGAACCGCGAGGCCGAAGGCTTTACAATTTCAACGGATGTAACGGATAGCGCACTCGCCCGGAAAGCGTGAGGTGCGGGTTTGACTCC